AAAAAAAAAAAAAAAAAAAAAAAAAAAGGCCCTCGCGAGGTCCCTTGGGCACAAGGAAGAAATGGCTGGGGCCACAAGGATGCCACAAGGAATTTTCCTGGTGGCGTTTTCACATTTCTTTTTCAATTTCGTCCCCAAGGACAGGTGGAACGAGCGYRTCCTTGTGGATTTCATGCCCCCAAGGAGTATCGAACGAGCCCCTTATGCCTGAAGCGCCGGAAGGAGTTTTTTTCTGCCTTTCCAAACTGGGACCGCGATGAACCTGCAGACACTGTTTTGTTTTGGCCATTTCGAACTGCACCTGTGCCACAGGCGCACTTGCCCCTACTTTTTTTCTATTTTGTCAAGCATGGATTTGGTTTCTGGCGTTATGGTCATACCTGCGAAGGGGGTTCTCACCTGGTCCAAAAGCGTCACGGTTCTCACCTGGTCCACATGCTGAGGGGAATGTGCTCTTTACTCAGACTGAGGGCCTCGTTAGACACTCCTTACGAGTTCCTTGAGCCACAAGGAAATTTCCTTGTGGCTCTTAAGGGAAATTTGCGGCGTCGTTCCACTCATCCTTGGGGTCCTCCCCCGAGGATGTTTCCTTGTGGCGTGCCCACGGCCGTTTTCATACGGAAATTAGTGGCCGCCGGGTCGGTCATCCTTGGTCCACTGTCTTTTGTCCGTGTGGAGGCGTCGTGGTCCAACGACTTGTGGCGGGAAACGACATGAGGCGGGCGACAGGAAAAAAAATTAACCCGGGGGGCGTCGACGTTTGAAATTCAAATTGACGGCTGCGACGACGACGATGACGTGCGGATGGCGGCACGAAGACGGCGTACTGCTGAAACGGGCTCAGCGGCGGCGTCACTTTCATCCCCCGGCTGTTGCGAGTGAGCAGGCATCGTCGGCTGCGTCCATCGTCGTCGACCTTCGCACACGTCGACTGCGCCTTGAAACACATTTCCGTCTGCGGGACTGCATCCAGAGAAAAGGGGCCAGCTTTCGACGGACGTCTTGGGCTTCTTCGTTGGTGTGGAAGAACAACACACACGGCAGCGGAGCGACGGGTCTGTGTCCAGGTCGCGGCTATGGAGGGCAGCGGAGAGGGTGGACGTGCAGTGTTGACGCCTCTTGAGCTGCAGGCTGTTGTGACGAACCACTTTCTGTGCCGCACGACTTTCTGCGCGATGACAATGAGGGGTCCTAAGATGGGAAGGTTGGGCCAATTATGGGAGATGGGATCGACAGGAAATTGCATCAGTATCCTTGATTGTTCCTCTTTTTACGTCGCTTCTTTTGGATGGCTAGGGCCAGGGCTGGGCAAGTCCCGGGATGGTCGGTTGAGTGGCTGGCGCGCCGACAGAGGCGCGATTAATAATGTTTGACGTCGCTTCTTTCTTGTTCTGTTGTCGGTTTTTTTTTTTTTTTTGGCGGGGTAATCGCGCGGGAGCTTTTGCTTCTTTCTTTTTTTTTAATTTTTTCTTCGAATCTTGTCGAGCTCTCGATGGCTCTCGGAATTTCGGACTTTTCTTTTCAGGATTTGTGTTTTAATACAGTTCCTTTTGCATTCTTGCGAGAATAGGAATTTAGCAATTTAGGAGTTCAAAATTTCTTTTTGCCGCGCGGTGCTTTTTCGCTTGCGTGTTTCTTTTTGCGACTGTAACGGAGCTCTGATTAGTCGGCGCCCTTTATCTTGTGTGTAACCGTAATTTTGGGCGGGGCACCCTTGTAACTGTATCTTTCTTCTTGAGCTTCGTCTTTCCCGCTCTCTCTCTCTTCTTTGCTGTGTCTAATTGGCCCGCGGGCTGCATGATCGGATCGATGCGTGGAGGGTGGCTACGTCCCCCACGCCACGATCTGGCCATGCAGAACGTAGGCACTCCCTCCCCTTCTCTCCTTCTAAGTCCTTGCAATTCAGTGTTCTTCGCGCATGCATGCACGCTATAAATTTCAGTTGCGCGATTAGATAGCTCTCTTAAACAGTTGCTGGAAGCTCGGGGTAGCGCGATCAGTGAGGGCCGGCTCACGAGCGAAGTAAGAGGTGAGTTGAAGTGGGAGTTGGGCGACCCGACGAGCTGGTGCCGAATGTGCGGGATTGACGCGTGGGGCTACGATGGACTGTAGCGCGCGGACGAATCCGACGGGCACAGGAGGACTAAGCGGGGTGACAACTTCGTGGGTTGGTGCGAGACGACGGACTGTCCGCATCGGGGGGAGAGAGAGAGAGAGAGAGAGAGAGAGAGAGAGAGAGAGAGAGAGAGAGAGAGAGAGAGAGAGAGAGAGAGAGAGAGAGAGAGAGAGAGAGAGGGAGTGAGCACGCGGGAGCGGGAGGGAGAGAGAGAGAGAGCTGTCTCTTATACACATCTAGATGTGTATAAGAGACAGGTCCGCATCGGGGGGAGAGAGAGAGAGAGAGAGAGAGAGAGAGAGAGAGAGAGAGCGGAGGTTGACGGGCGTGGAGTTGTAATTTTCTTTGTCCTTTCCTTACTTTTGTACATAAGTTTTGATTTCGGCTCGGGCAATTCGCCCTTATTTTTCTTTTGGCATCTTTGTCTCGACGTTGTCGTACCAAATACCCTTACAAGGGTATTTGGCATGCTTCTCGCAAGTCACGCCGGTACGGTCTCGACCGAAGTTGACGGCGCACTTGCGGGTGAGAGTTGAGTCCCGCTCGGATGAGCGGCGCGAGCGGTACGTCAACGGCGGGGTGCACGCCCTTCGGGTTGGCCCACGGTGCAGGAGAAAAGGCTGAGTGGCGGGGCCTGCTGATGCGGTGCAACGTCCGCTCCCCACCATCTGCTGTGAGAGGTTTGAGTGTGAGCATGCCCGCTGGGTCACGCAAGGTGGCGGGTCATGCCTGAGCACCCGTGGAATACTGCCGCAATATTTGGCTGTGCGGAAAGGTGTCCCGACAGTTGTTCCCATGGAACCCCTTCCTTCCTCGGCCTCCAAAGTTCTGATTTGAATATTATGTTATTACCACCAAGATCTGCAACAGGAACCGCATTAGCCGGGCTCATGCTGCCAGTGCAAGTTTAGCAGCGGGGCCCGCATCCTCCTACTCACTCCGCTGCAAAATCGTCGGTGGTCGGGGCTGATAGTTGCGGCAGGTAAGTTGTTACACACTCCTTGTGGATTTCGTGATCACTCCTACCGGTAGTACCGGGCCTCGCCTGTTCAGGTGGCTATTGGAGCGTAGTGTAGCGCAAGGTGAATAGAGGCAAAGTGGGTTGGGGAGAGGCAAAGTGGGTTGGGGACAACCGCACTGTGGCCCTGTGTATACGTGGGAGTATTAGTTACCCCCACCAATATCTTTTTTTTTTTTTTTTTTTTTTTTTTTTTTTTTTAAAGAACGACCCGGGGTTATGCTAGGGGTGCTGATAGGAGCAGGCACCACTAGCACTCTCGGGGGGCTCCATCTATTGGTGGGGAGCAGCACCTGCTGGAAACCGGGTCCAGCGTCCCTGAGCATTGAACTTTGTTTGTTCTGATCAAGCATACGACTGAATGACAAAAATAACAGAAATGTCTGGTAGTCGCAGGGCGTAGACCTGTCTCAGTCGTCTAGGACTCGCAGGGCATAGTCCTGCTTAGGTCGCCATCTACTCCGATGTTGTCCATTTCAATTGGCAGCGTGGGACGGCCGTGGCTGGCCCACTGTGTCCCCCCCTCCCTGAGTCCCGTGCAGTCGTCTAGTAGTCGCAGGGCATAGTCCTGCTTCAGTCACCATCTACTCTGATGTTGTCCATTTCAATTGGCAGCGTGGGACGGCCNTCCCGTGCAGTCGTCTAGTAGTCGCAGGGCATAGTCCTGCTTCAGTCACCATCTACTCTGATGTTGTCCATTTCAATTGGCAGCGTGGGACGGCCCTGGCTGGCCCACTGTGTCCCCCCTTGCCTGAGTCCCGTGCCATTCTGCACGGGAGTCAGGGAGGGGGGGACACAGTGGGCCAGCCAGGGCCGTCCCACGCTGCCAATTGAAATGGACAACATCAGAGTAGATGGCGACTAAAGCAGGACTATGCCCTGCGACTACTAGACGACTGAGACAGGTCGGGACCTGTCTCGACACCCACGCTGCAGGCCCCGCCGCATGCAGTATAGGTCACATGCGTTGACACCACCCGCTGTCGGGTGGACCGGCTTGGCAGGTGAAATGGAACATAGTGCTCAACAGATTTCGACTTCAAAGTTGTATGTGTCGGCCGGACCGGCTTGGCAGGTGAAATGGAACATAGTGCTCAACAAGTTTCGACTTCAAAGTTGTATGTATCGTCCGGACCAGCTTGGACTTCAAAGTTGTATGTATCGGTCGGACCGGCTTGGTAGGTGAAATGGAACAAAGTGCTCAACAGATTTCGACTTCAAAGTTGTATGTATCGGCC